AAATGGAGAGCACGCTTTAATTGGAAGGGACCTCCAAAGGCCATCTAGTCCAACCCTCTTATGTCATAAAGGATTACACAACTAAAACATCCTTGAAAGATGCCCATCCAACCTCTGTTGAAAGACCCCTGAAGATAGCCCACTTCTGCATTTTCAATCAGTAATACACTTAAATGGGAAGGGACCTCCAAGGGCCATCTAGTCCAACCCTCTTATGTCATAAAGGAAAATACAACTAAAGCATCCCTGAAAGATGTCCATCCAACCTCTGTTGAAAGACCCCCACCTCTCCATCTTCAGTCAGCAATACACTTAAATAGGAAGGGACCTCCAAGGACCATCTAGTCCAACACTCTTTTGCCATACAGGAATATACAACTAAAGCATCCCTGAAAAATGTCCATCCAACCTCTGTTGGCAGACCCTTGAAGATAGCCCACCTCTCCCATCCTCAATCAGTAATACACTTAAATAGGAAGGGACTTCCAAGGGCACTCTAGTCCAACCCTCTTTTGCCATACAGGAATATACAACTAAAACACTCCTGAAAGATGCACATACAACTGCTGCTGAAAGGTCTTCAAAAATGGAGAGCGCACTTTAATTGGAAGGGACCTCCAAGGGCTATCTGGTCCACCCCTCTTCTGCCACACAGGAATATACAACTAAAGCACTCCAGACAGATGCCGACTGAAAGGCCTCCAAAGGCGGAGAGGCCTCCATTTTCTGAGGAATGGGAAGGGACCTCCAAGGGCTATCCAGCCCAACCCACTTCTTCCATGCGTGCATGCCTAGCTAAAGCATTTCAGGTGCCAGACAGGTGTCTTGCCATAAAGGGATTTTCCTGACCGGCCTCATCCCTCTTCTTTCCTTGCAGGCGGCCAAGATGAGCGCCGGAGGGGACACGGAGCGGGCCCCACAACTGTATTTGGCGAAGGCGCTGTCCGGCCGGAGCCGCCGGGAAGCCCTGACCCAACAGATGGGCCTCCACCCGCCCTACCTGGAGAGCTTCCTCAGGATGCAGCACTACCTCCTCCACATGGATGGGCCCTTGCCCTTCGACTGCCGGCACTACATTGCCATCATGGTGAGCCCCAAAACACCCAATATAATTATTATTATTATTATTATTATTATTATTATTATTATTATCAGCATTAAAGCGGGGTCTAACTTTTATTATCATCGCCGACATCAACTTGGGATATACTTTTATTATTATTATTATTATTATTATTATTATTATCATATCCTCAACATCAAAGCAGGGTATAATAACTTCTATTATCATCATAATTATCACCATCAATGTGGGATAAGTAAAGGGAAAGATTTCCCTTTGACATTAATTGTCATGTCCGACTCTGGGGATTGCTGCTCTACTACTATAATTACTATAATTATAATTACTATAATTACTGGAGCCCCCGGTGGCGCAGTGGGTTAAACCCCTGTGCCGGCAGGACTGAAGACTAACAGGTCGCAGGTTTGAATCCGGGGAGAAGCGGATGAGCTCCCTCTATCAGCTCCAGCTCTTTATGTGGGGACATGAGAGAAGCCTCCCACAAGGATGATAAAAACATCAAATCATCCAGGCGTCCCCTGGGC